AGAAGGAAAAAGAAAATGTTTCACAACAATATCAAGTTGCCAAAAAAAATCATGGGAGAAAATGCCCTATTACATTATACCTTATCTGTCCATCCATGCCTGTGGCAGCGGCAACAATTCCTGTGCCCCCCTTGGGTCTTGTAAAGAGTTTTGTAGCATATGCTTTAAGAATTCTTGAGAAAACCTAAGATTAAAAGCAAAAACTCATAAAACAAAAACTTGGACCTCTAACATTCCAATATTCATCAACGTCACAACCAGAAATTGGTCCCCTTTCTACCACACATTTAGCAGACTAGTTGATGTAGGAAAAAAGCAACTATGAGAAAGGGAACGGAATATCAAACAAAATACCTAATTTATTTAATCAATGACTGAAAATTGAAAAAAGTTATACTTAGAAAATTACCTTGAACAAATTATATAGTGTCTGGTTCTTTGTTAAAGCGCTGCATCTCTTCAAGCTCCTCTTGATGATGATAAGAAACAACTATATAGCACAGTGAAAACTAATTAGGTAAAAATATTGCAGGATAAAAACTGGTAAAGTGGGGAAAGATTATTAGAGACTTCTAAAAATATAGTTATTCATATCTATTGAAAAACCTTTACTTGTTTCACAAGTCAAAAAAAAAAAGCATTAATGGAAAATCTTCCTAATTGTAGTTAGTATAATCAGGATTCTAAATCATACTTGGATTTACCTAACTTCAAGAACAAAAGCAAAATTTGAGAGTTTTTTAAGGATTCTAAATCACGCTTGGATAGGGTCTCAGGTTCGAGCCCGGCATTAACATGTTTGGGTGCATGTTTAATTGTATTAACTAAAAAAAAAAAAAAAAGGAAAATGCATGGATAGATAGAAGCTCCAACATGATCATATTAAAGATCTAGTGACTTGACTTACCTGCATGCTACTGGATAAAACATTATTCTGGCTTCCCTCCTCAGTATCCCATGTCTCTTCCTATTAAAGATAAAAGGTTATTCAATGGAGAAAGTGACAAGCAAATAACAGAACACAATCCAACAAAATAACAAAAATCACCTGAACAAGCTTCTCCAGATTTTCCATCAGCGTCTTCTCTTCCAATTCTACATATACCGTCAAGTGAGGTTCAAAGCAAGATGAAATGATTCCACGGAAGTTGAACTGTCAAAATAGCCACTCCAAGTGTTTATCAGGATTGCTTTGATGAACCAGACCAAAAAGGAATGAAAAGAAAAACTCAGAACATGGAAGATTGTAGCTACATATTACACTAGAGACTAGAGAGGATATTAAGAGGACAATGATTGGGTTAGAGTCCTGCTAATAAGAAACAGGAAAAAAAATACAAGGACAGGACAAGATAAACGAGGGAAATCCGTAGCTTTGATATTCAATGCTGCAAAATAACATTTACGAAGGGATCCCACTGGTTCTGGTCAAAACCCTCTTCCGCTATTACAACCAGATATCTCTAAGAACAGAAACTAGTGCTCAAAACACGGAACAACTCAGAAGACATAACGCAAGCCACTGGCATTTGAGAGGCCAGTCTCCCTCATCACACTCAAAATACAGAATATGAACTCCTTCTGAGGAGACTCCAACCACTATAAGCCAAAAGGTAACATTCACAGCCACCAATACTGCCCTCTCCAAGACCAGGCCTATAGCAACTCTAATTCTTTGTTTCTTCTCCCTAACATTACAAGTCTGATGGTCAACGCTCCGATCATCAGAAAGTTGCTTTCCCTTGCATCTTCCTAAGTTTCCTCTTATAGGTCTTTGTAACAAAAGTGGTTCTATCAGATTGTTCTATCAGATTAGCATAATGGGTTTGAAGAGTTTCCCCAAAAACACAAACTTAGTTTAAAAAGAGCAGCATAAGAGCATTCAAAATATTAGTCCAAAAGATTATAAATTGTAGTAGTAAAGATAAGAATGCTGAGATGGATATCTGATCACACAAGAAAATATAAGATTTGGAATGACCATATAAAAGGACAAGTTGACATGGCATATGCTGAAAAGAAAATGATAGAAAATCATTTATAATGGTTCAATCATGTGCAAAGAATGTTGATGAAAGTGCTAGTAAGAAGGGGTGAGCAGATATCTTTAATGCTATAAAGCAAGGTAGAAGGAGACCAAAAAGGACACTTAATCGAGATTTATGTAAATAGTATATCAGAAGAGTTGGTTATGAATAAAGCAAAATGAAGTTGAGCGGTCCATTTAGCCAACTCCATTTAGTGGAATAAGGCCAGTTGTTGTTGTTATAAGCACTCTAGATGAGAAAATAGGTGGAGAATTTATCTGATTCCTAGACTTGAAGAAAGAGAAATAAAATTATTACATACCCCAGCTCCAGGCACTGCCAAATCTTTATTTGCATCTCTTTTTCTGTCAATACAAAACCAAAACATAATGGTCATTTGATAACCACAAATATGAATAGTTGTTATGGATAAGTATTGTCAACTCAACATCTAGAATACCTACCTCATTGCCACTTCCTTGATGTGCAGCAAGCTTCCTTTCATACTTCTTCCGGATATCTGAAGCACTACTGCTAGAATTACCCCCTCTTCCAATTTCTTCAATCTCATTCCCGATCTCCCTGCTTTGTGTGCCTGCCCCAAATTTCTCAGCGAGCTCATCCTCAAACTCTAAAGTTCGCTGTAATGCCTGCAAGAATGAGCAAAGAAACTCTGAAAACACTGAAATTCCAGACTTTACAAAGCAAAAAACTACATGCTCAAGAAAAACCGAGCATAACATGGAGGTATAGTGGCATAGCATAATATCAAGTGAAGCATGAAGCAATACTTATAAAAACAAAGCCAGTGGTTAATCATTCAATGCCTGATCAAATCCACTGCTTACCAGCAACAAGGTCCCCACATCTGGCTTTTCTTTCAGATTAGAAAGAATGTCCTCAAGTTGTTTTCCTGCAATGAGATATACTGTAAGCCCAACAATATTTTCCAACTAATGATGCTGAAAAATTAAAAGTAACACAAAAAGTGGTAAAATTCAATGAAACCCAAAACCTGTTTTTATTTTGGATAACATCACATCCGATAGAAATAATCCACACACATGATAAGCACACATTATAACATCTTATACTTGATAAAATCCACCTTACAAATATCAGCTCCAACGAGATGGGGACATATTGATTTGTAAGAAGTAAATTATAATTATTCCTTGTTTAATTTAATGGATCAGCATCAAATGTACTTTGTAATCTTATATCATACCAGAACACACTAAATGGAGCAGCATTTTCACCATAGCCACGGCTTCTCTTAATGGATAAAGCATCATTGATAGATTATATTAAATTGCTGCTAAACAAAGATATCATACCTGGTCTTCTTGCAGAACAAGATACAAAGCCGATAAGAAACATGCCATGAAGAAGGAAAAATTTTCCAGATGTCTTCATTTGATCTCATTCGTCGTTTAATCCATGCATATCTTCGCTCCGTTTTATCTAACTTTGCTAATTCTATGAAGATGTAATAAATTGAAGATTAGTAACAATAAATATACATCAACATAAAATCATGTTGGCAATAATTTCACGCACCAGCTCCTTCAAAAATTTGTTCATACGATGTAAGCTCCCGGCTGCAGAAATTATTTACCAATTCTTCCCTAACAGAGGGCTCTAGCGCATCAACCACTAAGCAGGCATCAGACAACTGCTGGAGCAAATTAGTTTCTTCTGTCTCCTTTCCAGTACCTAAGCTGAGAATGAGAACAGGAAGTTGAAAACCCCCGTTAAACAAAAGCCTTTTCATAGAATACAAACATATCCGCATTCAATGAAGTAAAATAGTGAAATACATAATGAGTTATAACTACCAATATGACCAAATATGCAATTGAGCAATCAAAATGGAAAATGTGTATCCAGCTCATATTCTATTACCCAAAGGCCGAAGAGAGTTAGAAATTAGTAACATACCTTGAGAAATCAGAAAATACATGTGACTTGAGAATTTGCTTTATGCTCTTAAATTTCTCCCTGAGTTCAATGATCTTATGAATATCTCTATAGGCTTCAAAGTGACTACATAATTGGTTCACAGCCTGATAAGTAAGATGATAACATCAATAATCAATAATTGGACAATATGTTAAAAAACAAATGTGCAGTTACACATATCAGGAATAAGTGATATGAGAAGCAGAAATCTAACATAGAAAATAATTTATTAAAAAACTAAACAAACAGAAGTAGGCCACACAACTTCAAGCACATGACGCAAGAAAATATAATGCATCCAGAAAATAGCATGGTCAAAAGTATGAAAGGGTCCCACCAGAGTTACATAATTCAACAGTTTGTTACGCTTCACAAGAATACTCACAGAAATGTTCACATGAAATGAACCAAGAGAAGAAACCTACTGCAACCTCATGCATTTACTAACTTTTTAGGGGGAGGGACCGAGGGAGTCTGGCTTGGTGCTGCTTAAGATGCATTCCATTTGGTTGATTATGCCATAGAGATCATAAAAACAGTCTAGTTAAAGCTATTGAATGATTTTGGTTTTCACATATGCATGCATATTATATATTAATATAAATAAGCCCGTGAACTCAAAGTCCAAAATAATATCAGGGAGAATCCAGAAAATGGATCTCTCGGAGTAACAAGAATTCCTCTTAACAAAATTGGATATGCCATCTAATTCAATCAACGTGCACCATCTAAAACCTCTCTAGAGTGCCCTGATTAGTATCTACATCCAAATAAAAGAAAATAAGTGGATCAGAATAATCCTAACTGCAATAGATTTTATGAATTTCAAAGGAATTAAAATCTATACACCAAAGATGTCAACCACGTGATACAAGAAGAACCAATGCAATACATAGATATTTAAATAGCAAGTCTCCGAAGAGCATGATCAGCAAAAAGTTCACTACCTCCAGCTGTGCAGCTGCCTCTTTATATTGACGTTTTGAAGCCATGACCTGAAGCTGTTCAACAGCAGAGACTGCCACATGATAGGTAGTGTTGCATTAAAGATTGAATAATGGTTATGAGTCTTAAAATCTACCACAAAAGCCTCAAATGTTTCAAATAGAGAGTACAAAGTTTCAATTGTAAGTTTAAAAAATTAAAGCAACCAATTGGTTTTAATATTGAGACCAGAAAATTGCAGTAACGGTTCATTATTTTAGTTTATCTTAACAATACATTGATTGTCAGGTCTAGTTACAATAAAGTATGAGGACTTGTACTATAAATTCTATGGTAAAATTCTCTCATAAGCGCCTAAGCATTTTTACATTAGAACTTGCCTAATGCGTATAAAAATGGGACCTCTGAAAACAGATTAAATTAATAAACAAATTAGCAAACTTATTCATATGGTAAAGAGAGTGTGTGAGGGTGTGCGCCCTTGCGCGCAAGAGAGAGAGAGAGAGACTAAGAGATTACTGAGAGAATAACTTCAAAGATTTGAGAATCAAGAATCCTTCTGAAAACAAAAGAAAGAAATAAAACTAATATTTCAATCTATTAACTCAAAGAGATATGCAATCCTCTGGGTATATAAACGGAGACTCACTTCAAAAAACCAAAGCAGAGGCCCTCATAGAGGAAATGCAAGAAAAGCTATCCTTTGATTCTGCGACTCTTCCCAACCATTCAATCATATCATTTCCATTTATACAAAATAAACCCGGCATTCTACAGTGTCTAATGCAAGTTCCAACCATGGAAACTTGCATCTTATGCATTGCACAACCAACATCTGAAAAAAATTATAAATCCCTTAAAACTGACATGATCAGTTAATTGTTTGGCCAGCCACTGCTGAGAAAAATTCATCTTCATCACATCCAACTTCACTAGCAAATCACTGACAGGAATTTTGTTCTAGATCTAGCATAGATCAAATTATCGCAAAGATTATAGCTTTCAGAGTTAAAAAACAACCCAAAAAAAAAAAAGGATAAAAGGGGAGAATACAAGATGCCTGGATTAAATTTTTGTGCCTTCACAAATCATGTCATTGGTTACAGACATTCCCCGACCATGAGAAAGAGAGTTAACGGAATTACAGAATTCTCTGAAATTAAATACATATTCACAGATGCAACAATTATTAGATAGACATGATAAAATTCAAATAAGGATCAATTATTCAAACATAGCAATGCTCTCTCTTGTCTTTAAAGATACTCGACAGTGAACATGATTGTAACTTCTGGCCTACGTATGCATTTTAACTTTATTACTATATTCATCAAGGGACAAGATTATGCATAAACATCACAAACAAGAGATATTCACCTCTATCTGTCTTCCAGTTGCACAGATTAAATGCAAACTTAGCACTTCAAACCCAATAAATATCAACTAACCCAAAAATTACTAAGAATACCAACCATATACCAATCTAATTAACAGATCTTAAGTTACCAAGTTCAACTCTTGATGCTGCAAAAGTAGTCAGCAAGCTTTTTTTCCCGAGGGAAGGGGGCATAATAGGTCACTTATGATATACAGAAGGACAATCAAGATTTACCAAGCATGGTAAGACGGTGAAGAGCAGTGATTGTTGTGGTTATGTGCTTCTTGGCAAAATCCAGTTTCTTAATGTCACGGCATATTTCTTGAACCATGGTTTCACTTTGTACAGCTTTAGTTTTTATTTCTCGGATCTTATACATTAGTTCCTGCATCATAAAATCAAAACAGTTAAACATATAAAATGACATTCAAGTTCACAGAGAAGCTTGAAGGAGGAAGAGAGACAAAAGAAAGCATCACGGACACATGCAAGGAAAAAAAAAATATCAAAATACTTGACAGTTGAAAAATAGAAACTCATCACATTGAACCAGGAAACTGCGTTTCACAAGCATGCATTTCAAAAATAAAGAGAAAGGTGTGTTGTGTGTGTGTGCGCGTAAGAGAAAGAGGGAGGAGAGGTTAATTAGAAAAATATGGAGAGGGTGAGGGTGGGAGGAAGAGAGTCAACCTCCACGGCAGTTGTAGCAGCAGCAAGATCTTCTTTGGCTTTAGTCCTTGAATTGCTCTGAAATTACAGAAGCTGAGTCATCAAACAATAGAAGCCAAAAAGGTGTATATGATTACAGTTTTAACGATTAATACCTCACGACACTGAACCATATTTAGCCCAGGCGATTCACAATTCAGGAATGCAATCAAGGATAACTCCTACATTCCCCACCCCCCAGAGTCCCCCCTTTTAAAAGAAGTGACCAAATTTATATCCACAGTATTAACCTTCATGTTAGCTTCACTCAAATGTCCCATTAGAATTGAATAGCTCCGAGCAAGTTTTCAGTAAATGACAACATCAATCTGATTTTTTTAGCAAAATGTCAATATGATTTAGCTCCTGAAATATTGTTAAGTTTTTCAGATGGCTGGGGTTATGTGAGAATAACACAGAACGAAGTCACTACAAGCCATTAACTTAAGACTAGGAAGCAGTTAAGGTCAGAGGCATGGATCAAGACCTGTTGGCGAACAGCTGCTAAAATTCCAGCATCAACAGTGCGAATCTCATTCTGTATCTTTTGCATAAGTGGCTCAACACCGGATAGAGATGCCTCTGGATAATATAGAAAATAGATGAGCATAGAACCGAGCATTAGCAAGAAGAACTGAATTACCTGGTAAGTTCATGAACTTGCTGGAACAAAAGCACACAAAAGACAACAAACGGAGGGGGGGGGGGAGTTACAGAGTTTGCAAGTATGAAATGCAATCGAAACGACAGCCCATGCGGATTGGAACTAGGTTTGCAAGTAGGACATGGTTACCATTGGGAAACATCTGATTGATATACTCCAAAGCACTTGACTTGTCCATTGCTGATAGTAGATGAAAACCCACCTCGACGCCCCTAATACCACGTTCAATCCAAGCACCAACAACGAAGATTCAATATCTAGATCTCATATATTGCATCAAGCTCTCGGTGAAAAGGGAAAGGATGCCAAGTTCAAAGGCGAAGAGGGGAATTTGGAAGATGAGAGAATGACACAGAAAGTAAGCACCCACCACAGTGGCAGCAACAGTTAGAAAATCAGAGCTCCAAATCTAACATTTATTCATGCAATTCTTCCTGCAGATCGAATTGCAGGGCGATGCTAGCAGCCTGAATTTGGATCCTCTCGAGCATGCGCCCTCTTTCGTCATCACGCAGTCAGTCCCATACTAGGGGCGAATGTCAAAATTCGAAAACAATCAGGACTAACAGTGAAAATTAAACAAGAAATCAACAAATGAAAAAGGGGATAATTTCAGTTAGCCCACAAAATAAATGTAATTTCCATTAGTCCTTGTAAAGCCAATAGTCCTTGTAAAACACTAGAGACATCACTGCACCTTTAGACCAAAATAAAATTAAAAATTATGGGTGTCTTTTTTCAAAATAAGATGAGTAAGGGAGGTTTTGACTTTTAAACTCATGATTCTTTGACACATCAAAAGAGTTATGACTAGCAAACCATCCAATTTGTTCAATCATATGATGTAAAGAATTACAACTCAAATTCGATGGTTTACAAGAAATATAAGGAAATTCCTTTTCAAATTTTACTCAAGAATGAAAGATATGAATACAAATAAATAACAAGATCTTTTTAACTTGGTTGAACTTTTGATATTATGCGAGTCTAATACTCGACATTTAAAAACTGGTGAACCAATAAACTGTTTTTTTGAGTAATTATAATGAGAGAAAAAAAGCTTTTATGTTATCTTGAATAAATTTATTAATTTTCTAGCAAAATAAATACTTCTCTAATTTTATTATCTTTAAAGCATTGGATTTCAACAAATCCTAATCTACAAATTTTGGGAATGTATTGAATTAATTCTAAATTTTTTTAAGTTTGCTCATCTTGCCACATATAAACTTTTTAAGTAGTTTTGGTAAATTATCATTTTCTAAGACCAAATGGAAATATTTTTAAGTGATTCATTTTTGCATTGGACAATAGACTTCCCTAGCTTTCTAAAGAGTTCCACTTTATAATTTTTGGAGATGTATGAAATTCATTATGAATTTTGAAAATAAGACCACCCTTCTTCTTTAGCCACAATGAATGTCACAAAATCTACATATTAATTGTGATTTTCAATTAAAAACTGGTGATATTTTAGGCTTGATGGCCTAGTACACCCACCTAAGCCCAAGAAAAAATGCCCAAGCCAACCCTAATAAATAGGTATTTTCAAGCCAGAAGCAACCAAAGTATGCTGTCCTATCAATTTTGCCTTGCCTAAAAATATGTGATTTTGTGCGTTATAATAATATATAGTATAATATTATATTACATTTTAGCTATCATTTTTAGTTTTAAAAAAATTATCTTCCCTTCATGTTGCTTTTTCTTTAATAGATTATGGATGTTATTCAAATTTGAAGTATGAATATTTATCTATCTATTATACATTTATAAATCTTGCAATAAACTGATGAAGTTCATTTTATCATGTAGCATTAGTCATCTTGAACCACCGAGCACTTAGATCAAATATTAGGAGTTGTTTTAGCTTAACCAAAGGTCACAAGTTCGATCTTTTGGGTAGGATCGCTGCCTATATAGGTCCTATCATGGCTCGATCATAATTAGTCTGATTTGTAATGGAATTTCTAAAGGGTTGGTCAGGATACTGGGTGTGTAAAAACACATAACCGTTTAAATTAACAACACTCGTTTAACATAATATTCTTGAAAGCCAAAGCCACCACAAATTGTTTGGATGCAAAGTCTAAAGAATTCTTATATAGTTAAGAAAAATCGTATTCCACAAAATAATGCATGACAACAAATGAATTTTTTGGGCAGAGAGAAATAAAATTTGTAGAAAGGATTTCTTTTCTTTTTTTTGGAATAAAGGTTGAAGAATATAATAAAATATTTTTGATAGAATCAAATATCTTGTAATACACTTTAAATATGTGAAGTAGTGTCAACTACATTTGAATCCTTTTCAAACTTAGACATGTTGTCAACTACATTTAAATCATTTTCAAACTTAGACATATGTCATGTATTGGATGTGGAGAGAAATTTCTAGTTTGTCAAGGGATACGATAGTATTTCAAATTTCAAGACTCAAGTTGTAAACTTATTTTAAACTATTTCAAGGTGTGGGATCAAGAAATGTATTTTTTAGATATAACTAGCATTTCTTCCCCCTGCGAATTGGTGACAATCCAAATATTATTGACTAGCATAATGTAAAGATTGACATTGACTTTTATTTATAATCATAGCGAATGACAATATTATTGGCAATTGTCTTCTCTTGAAAAGGAAAATGACTATTAGAAGGATTTATATCCATACGATGAATAAGCACTTTCTGATATGGTTTAGAGGCATTCAAAGTTATCGCTTCAATTACAAATTTTCCTAGATGAGTGACACGCAATCTTGTTCCATTGCAGAGCCCTGATGCTTGATCAATATTCCTTAGAAGCATAATAGGAGCTCCAACCTTCAATTCCAATTTGTGCATTGGCATACCAGAGCTGTTAATTATATTTAGAAATTCAGCGGTGTACAAGTCTTCAAAACGGTCAGTATCGTTGAATGATTTGCATACTGAGTCACAACTCAAATATTCGATTGATTCACTAGGTAATAAAGAACACACATAATCATTCACTCGGTTGACGACCTCAATTGTTGGAATCTATGATTGAAGTACTTAGTGTTTGACAAATTATCAAGAAAATCTGGATAAGTAGATGACATAATAGCATTATGTGGTTCTTCATAATTTTTTATTAGTAATTCAGATGGAATTTTAATTTTAACTGTACCATGATGTGGCATCCCTAAATTACCATCTTCGACATCTAAAAGAAAATTTGAGAATTTCTCTAGAGATTGTTCCTCCTCAATTGAAGAGGCTGAAGACAACCGTATGTTCTTAGACAACTTGAAAATTATGCAATAATCCCATAAATACGAAGAGCTAATACAAGCATTAACAATATCTGCTCTTGTACCTTTTAGTATTATAGGAAGAATCTAATGAAAATCCCAACCCATCAAAATGCACTTTCCACCAAATGGTAAATTAAGATGCATTATGTCCCTTAATGTATGATCAAATGCTTCAATGCAATAACACTGAACCATAGGAGCTTCATCCTATATGATTAGCTTAGCATGAAGTATTAGATTAGCTAAAGCAGAATTCTGTCTAATGTTGTAAACAAAGTCCTCATTAACTTGGATAGGAATTGCAAACCTTGAATGAACTGTTTTTCCATATAGCAATAATGTAGCAGTAATGCCATTAGATGCAACAGCGATAACAATGTCTCCCCTAACTTGAAGAGTTGATGTCAAAGCATCCCATAGAAATGTTTTACTTGTTCCTCCATAGTCATATATGAAGAAAAAAGCTCCATCAGAACAATCTAAAGAAGATGAGACGGTGTCAAATATCATTTTTTGCTCTATATTAAGTGACTTAGTTAATACATTTGCCCCCTCTTGCAGTGCAATGCGATCATAACTTAACTCCTGTAATATAAAATGATTCCGGGTATCAAGCATCGGAGATGATGAAGGTCTTGGTAGTATAGGGAAATCCTAAAGACTCCTCCCCTTCTCTTGAAGAAATAATTCAATCTCCTTCAATGCAACATCTTCCCTCTAAGCATCTAATATATGTATTCCTATAGCAAAAGACAATACGTAATGAACTATGCAATCATAAAAAATTACAATGTTACACATGATTAGTTTCTATTTCCTCCAAAATTAAATTATTACTTACTTGATGACATAGGATCACGATGAGGAATGTATAGTAAATCTTCTGGAAGTATTTTAAAAGTTTCCTTCCACACAAAGTCAGAGCGACTTAGTGAAGAACACAAAAGCACGCTCACAAACATCCTACGTAATGATCTTCTAGACGCCGATATTGATGCCTCTTTGATGGCATTTATACACTCTATATCATCATCTAACAACCTAAAGTTGAAAGCATGCATCTCTGAATGTTGAATGAATAACACCATCAATAGTTTTGATCACTTCAAATAAGGGTGGACCTCTAATCTTGGTTAGCAGAATTTGAAGATAGCAAAGCTTACCAGATGATGGAGAAACATAAGTAATCTTACCAATTGCAAAGCCTTTTTCTCTCCATTTCCAACATCGTTTGTTTTTCTGATAAACCAAATGCTAAGGGAACTCAAAATAAGTTAGTGTTTTAGCAAGGTCATCGTGAAAGTTTGTTTCCATCCAAGCAATAAACATAGACTCACATACCCTAGGTTTGTCTAAAATATCTCCAATGTCATCAGCACAAGAGTAAACTACGTATTGTTGATTAGGTGAGTAGAAGCTTAGCCTCTCTACAACAGGATATCTATGGTGGATATCAAATGCAAATATATGCTGAGCTGCTTTACATGCCGAAATATATCTAAAGTTGTAATACTGTTAGATCTCATCAACGGGATGTTCAGAAGACCCATCTTCATTGTTGTCATGTATGGCCGCAACAACCTTATCATTACCTTTGCTAATGTACTTGAATAGGTATTTATTTGTAGAGAATTGATTACACTTCTCTACATTGATATGAGCTTGGAACATGAATAACAATGTGGGGTTATACGGCACAACAAAACGATTGTCCAAGTAGATACCTTTAACTTTAATTATCCTCCCATCATCTCTATCTGTCATCATCAATAGTTATATCCTTATTGAATTGTTTAGGAAAATATTTGCTGCACTTATGATCCTTCATACAAGATAATTTAGGATTTGTTCACCCACATGGTCCATGAATCATGAATTTCTTCACTAATTCATAAAGGTAAGGATTTTCATCTTTATCAGGGATCTCTGCAGAAATGACCCTATCGATGTCCTCTGGTGATTTCAAGTGATCGTGTCGATCTAAGAATAGCAAGACATATGCATGCAGGAGACCTTTTTTTTTTAGAACTCAATCGTGTGACAATTAACTTATTAATAACATGTAAGACATATAAATTTAAGCATGAATACTTGAAAAACCAAATAATGCCACGTACCTACAATGACAGTGCCAAATATCTTCTTATTCTTCTTCACAGTCTCCATCAAATCTTTGA